GCAGGCACGATTAAATCTGCAGATTGTGCAATGCTAGAGGGCTAGCCTGTGTGCTGGTGACAGAATCGAGAGTAGAACAGTGACCTTGATGTCATTTAATAGAGATCAAACTGTATCTAGGTTTGAAAACAACAGTTTCATTTATTAATGGAGTGGCTGAGCAAACTGTGTGTCAGGCCCAAGTACAGGATTGGAAAGACCTATGCTTTATGGGTGTGTGTGTGTGTGGTGGGGTGGGGGCATAGGGTTTTATTGAACTGTAAGCTCAGAGTGACTCAGCATTGACTTAAATATCCCCCAAAGGCATATGCAGCCATAGGCCGCAGTGAGGGTGCAGCACCCAGAACAAGGGAGTGCTACGGGGTGGGGATGCAGTGTCCCAACCACCTCACAAGTGTGCGGTATTCGATTCTGGGCACAACACCCTAGGAGGTTCAGTGGCAGACTGGAATCTGTCCACAAAAGGGGTAACAGGATGTGAAAGAATCTCAAAACTTTGGGGGGAGTGGTTGATGAAGCCAGCTCAGGGGTGAGGAGTCCTGATTGCAGAATTCTAATATTTGGGCTTTTGTTAGGTAGAAGAGGGAATAGGTTATTTTCTTTCGTGGCTCCACGGGGCAAAATAGGACCAACTGCAGAACCTTCTAATAGTTCTCTAACGGTCAGAGAAACAGATCATTGAGGTAGGCAGTTCCCTATTAATTGAGGGACCGAACAAGCTATGGGCCAGGCATGGTTGTATTAGTTATGAATTGTTGCATAACAAAGTACCTCAATACTTGGTGGCTTAAAAGATACATATTTACCATCTCATAGTTCCTGTGGGTCAGGAATCAGGGCCCCGCTTAGCTCAGTACCTCTGGCTCAAGTTCTTTCGTGGGGTTACAGTCAAGCTGTTGGCTGGGCCTGCAGCCTCATCTGAAGGCTTGACTAGGGCTGGAGAACCCACTTCCAGGCTCACTTTTGTGGTCGTTGGAAAGCCTCCATTCCTTGCTGGCTGCTGGATGGAGGCTGTGGCAGGTTGAATCATATCCCTCAAAAAGATACATTCAAGTCCCAACTCCTATACCTGTGAATGTGACTGTATTTGGAAATAGAGTTTTTGCAGATGTAATCAAGTTAAGATGAGGTCCCACTGTCTTAGAGTAGGCCCTAAATCCAATGACTAGTACCCTCGTAAGAAGAGAGGATACACGGAAACACCGAGAGACACACAGACACACAGGGAAGAAGGCCCTGTGAGGATGGAGGCAGAGAACGGAGTGATGCAACTACAGCCTTCAGGAATGATGCAGGAACACCAGCGATTCCTGGGGGCCACCAGAAGCTAAGAAGAAGCAAGGAGGGATCTTTTTTAGAGCCTTCAGAGGCAGCATGTCCCCGTGGATACCTTGATTTTGGACTTCCAGGCTCCAGAACTGTTGAGAGAATACATGCCTGTTTTAAGCCATCTGGTGTGTGGTGGTTTGCCACAGCAGCCCTAGGGAGCTAATGCAGAGGCCTCCCTCGGTGTCTTGCCCCTTGGACCTCTCCAGGGGGCTGCCTCATGAAATGGCAGCTAGCTTGCTCAAGTAAGTGACCCAAGCAAGAGTGTGTGAGAGAACACCCATGTGGAAATCACAGTCTTTCTATAACCTAATCTTGGAAATGACGTCAGCGCTGCTATTCAGTTCTTTACAAAGGACAGTCAGTCCAGCCCACCCTCAAGGGGAGGAGATTACATAAGGGTGTGAATATCAGGAGGCAGGGATCATCTGGGGTCACCTTAGAGGCTAACACAATGATGCTAGGCCCTGATGTTGCTTTCTAGATGGTCATGCCCTAGTGGAAAAGATGAGCCTATAAGTAGGCATGACATTCTGTGTGTGAGGTATAGCAAGGCAGTTAAAAAGCTCTGGAACTTTTTGGACAGTGTCGGATTTGAGGCTTGATGGCATCACTTCCGAAACCCTTCTGGACGAGCCATTGAACCCCTGTGAGCCTTGTCCTTCTCATCTGTATAAATGGGAGATACTATTACGTATCTCTATTGCATAGATATGAACATGTACAAGCCCTTGGGATGGTATCACGTATATAGTAGATGCTCAGTTAAGAAGGAGTGGTAGTTCGGGTTAATTTAATACATGTTCTAATAGTGGTAAGTAACCAGTGAAAGGTAGTCACTGTTAATGAGATGACCTTTTTTAACAGGTCTAACATTGTGAATAGTGTCCAAAAACTAGTTAAGATATCCTGGTATCGGATAACCCTCAAGGTGTTTATTTATCCGCGCGGCATTTTAGGCCCTAGAGCAGGACTGTGTTGTTCACGATTAAGGGAGCAGAAGATAAGATAATCAAAGAGTTTTGGAAAGTAGGTTGGGGCGGAGCGCAGACATGTCTGTGATCTCGCTAGTTTGAGCCAACCATTGCTTGGTGTTTTTTTCTCAAAGGGGTCGATTGCTCACGTTTTGTGTTTGCTTTCCAATTTGCCAGGTGAGAACACCGACCCCACGTTCTACATAAGCATGTTGCTCGCCACTCCGGTCATTGTCGCGGGCGCAATCATAGTTCTTCTGCTTTATCTCAAAAGGTGAGGCCGCGGCCCCGGTCGGCCTGGCAGTTCCTGCTAGCCTGCGGGCTCCAGTTACTACTCTGTGAGGGTGTTGGGTGTTTGGCCCGGGTATCAGGAGCGCTTTGGCCATAAATGACCCGGCTAGTATTACTGCAGAGCAGGTTGCGGCTTAAAGCTGTGGGAAAGAACGCTTCAGCGAGTTGCGTGTGATTGGATGGTGCTCTGCGCACGCCAGCGGAGAGCCACGGGAGTGGAGGCCGGAGCGGAGGCCAGAGCCAGCTCCCGTAGGCCGTGGCAAGGAACTGAGATTTTTTTTTTTTCCTAAGCATGATGGGGACCCATTGGAGAGTTTTAAGCAGGGAAGGGCCACGACCTGATTGTACTGTCATAAAAGGTCACCTCACTTGCTGAACGAAGAACTGGCTTGCGCAAGAATGGCAGTGGGTAGGCCAGGGAGGAGGCCTTGCAGTGGGTGGGGGGGGGGAGGTGAGGGCGGCCTAACCTAGAAAGTGAGCAGCGGAGTCGGTAAGATGTGGTCAGAGGTGGGATGTATTTGGAAGGGCGAACTGAGGGTACTTGCTGAAAGCTCCTCATCCATCCGTGGAGGTCTGAGGCAGGTACTGAGGGTTCAAGGAGTGCTCAGACATGGGGCTTCAGCAACTTGAGTGAACGCGGGAGCCGTTTGCTGAGACGGAGAAGATTTGCGACGAGCACTGGCTGTAGGGCGAAGGTGAGGACTTCAGGTCTGAACGGAAGTTCGAGATGCCTAGTAGATACCCAAGTAGAGACGTTAAATGGGTAGTTGTGTGATGAACCTGGAGTACAAGGGAGAGGTCTGGGCCGGAGATCGAATTTGGGGAGCCCTCGGCATGTAAACAGACCCGAAGCCCTAAGACTGGAAGAGATCACTCGCAGAGCGAGTGGGATGGAGGGTGAAGGACAGAGCCCTGGGCCACACCAACGTTTAGGGCCCAGGAGATGAGGTGGGGCCACCAAAGGGTACTCTAAGGTACAAAGATGGACAGGGGGAGAAGAAGAAAGAAAAATTGAAGAAGAATGTACCCTGTTCTCAGAAGATTATTTTTTTCAAAATTATAAGCAGTAAGCCCCCATCAGGTCTCTGATGAGTAAAGCACCATTATTATTTAAATAATAGGGGAGAGTGCACATGCCTGCACACTTGTGCATGCACACACACACACAGAGTCATAACCATGTGAGGTGATGGATCTGTTAATTCGCTGGATTGTAGTCATCATTTCATAACGTATACATATATCAGAGCACCATGTTCATCTCAAATGTAGATGATTTTTATTTGTTGAGTATATCTCAATAAAGCTGGAAAAAAAGTTTTTTTTTTTAAATATTTTATTTATTTATTTGACAGAGAGAATGAGATAGAGAGAGACAGCATGAGATGGGGGAGGGTCAGAGGGAGAAGCAGACTCCCTGCTGAGCAGGGAGCCCGATGCGGGACTCGATCCCAGGACTCCAGGATCATGACCTGAGCCGAAGGCAGTCGCTTAACCAACTGAGCCACCCAGGCGCCCTGGAAAAAAAGTTTTAAAAATGATAGGGTATGAGCAGTCTGTTTCCCCTGATGGCCCCTTTGGTCTGCCCATACTGGGTGCTCTCAGGACATCGGTCTCTCAGCTTCTTGTGAAATTTCTTCACAGCCGCTTCATCATTCAAGATGACTTCTATACCATGTCTTTAGTCCAAGTCTTCTTTTAATGTGGCTTTTTTTAAGTGGGGTGTTCCTATGGGCTGGAAGATTTGATCAAAAAATGTCTCTGTTTTCTTAAAGGCTCAAGATCATTATATTCCCTCCAATTCCTGATCCTGGCAAGATTTTTAAAGAAATGTTTGGAGACCAGAACGATGATACTCTGGTAAGCCCTGATTCCAATGAAGTTTGAAATTGGTTTTTGTTGGGAGGCTATGGGATTTGTAAAGAGTTTGGTAAAATACACAAAACATAAAATTTGCCATTTTGACCATTTTTAAATGCACAGCTCGATGGCATTAGGTACATTCACAGTGTCGTGCAGCCATTGTCACGATTTCCAGAACTTTTTCATCATCCCAGATAGAAACTGTGCCAGTTAAGCACTAAGTTCCCATTCCCCCCAGCCCCTGGTCACCTCTTTTCTGCTTTTCTGTCTCTCTGAATCTGCCTCTTCTGGGTACCTCGTGTAAGTGGAATCCCACAGTATTTGTCCTTTTTTGTATCTGGCTTCTTTCACTTAGCATAATATTTTCAAGGTTCATCCATGTGGTAGTGTATGTCAGAACTATATTTCAGAATGGGTTACTTTTTTGTAAGATTTTACTTACTTATTTGACAGAGCAAGCACCAGAGGGAGAGGGAGAAGCAGACTCCCCCCCGAGCAGGGAGCCCGATGCGGGGCTCGATTCCAGAACCCTGGGATCGTGACCTGAGCCAAAGGCAGACACTTAACTGACTAAGCCACCCAGGCGCCCCTAACATTGGTTATTTTAAACTTCATTTTATCTAAAAGATTAAAGAAGAGGCAGTTTATCATGTTGTATCCCAGGGGCGCCCGGCTGGCCCAGTCAATAGAGCGTGTGACTCTTAATCTCGGGGTCATGAGTTCCAGCCCCACACTGGGCATCGAGCCTGCTTAAAATAAATAATTAATTTTAAAAAATGTGGTATCTCATACTAAGCATACCATTTGAGAAGTCCTCAGAATACTTTGCCCATCTCATCTCATGGGACTTCATTCTGTCCCGGAAGCAGGGAATCTGTTTAATCCAAACATTCAAGGAGTGGAGCCTCCATGTTGAAACCAGTCCATAGACAGAGCTTCTGACTCTTGGAGACGTGGGGAAATATAAAGATAGGGTAAACAATTGAAATAGATTCTCTTCGTGTTATTGCCTGGAAAGCTGGCCTCTGAGGACAAGGCAAACCCACCCGAACTGTTATGGTTAGTTTGCTGCAGACTCTCATGCTAGAATTTGTGGCTGGAAAACCCAAGACCTCAAGGGAACCAAAGAGTTTCAGGTTTCCCTGATAAGTACATTCACCCACATAAAATAACAAAGACACTAAATGGAATAAATATCAATATTATTACATATATTTTAAATTAGTAATATCAGGCACAGGGCAGTTAATTTAGTGAAGTAGTACAGCATAGCACATAATGGCCTGGGCTCTGGAGTCAGATTGTCTGGATTCAAATCTAATTTACCATCTGTCTGACCTCAGGTGACTTCCTTAACCTCTCTGTGCCTAAGTGTTCTCATTTGTAAAGTGGAGGTAGTGATAGCGCCTGCCTCATGGTGGTGGTATGTGGGTTCAATTAATTTAATACCATAAAAACCACTTAGCACACAAGCATTCATGAGTGCTCAGTAAGCGTCAGTGATTAGTCTTACTGTTGATAACTTTCCATTTATTGTTAATCCCCAAGCAGTTCTTTTTCTTTTTTTCTTTTCAAAAAGTAAGCTCTACGCCCAACATGGGGCTTGAACTCATGACCCCGAGATGAAGAGTCACATGCTGGGCCAACCGAGCCAGCCTGGCGCCCCTCCCCAAACAATTCTTGTCATAACAAGTGATTCACAATAGCAACGATGATGTATAGTGGGGGAAGGAAGGCAGGGAGGCCGATGTGCTTTCAGGAGAGGATGCATCTGGATCACTTTCTCACCAAGTCATGGTCACGCTGCCAGACCCCGGGCGAATAGGGCATCACCAGGCAGGTGGGTCCCAAAGTCAGGTGCCTGATGAGGAGATGGTACACTGTCACCAAGAGGGAATATGGCAACCAGTGGCTCTTCACCTTTAGTTGAGTCACAACCAACTGGAACGCTTGCAAGAATAGAGCATCCCAGGCCCTGCCCCCAGCAAGTCTGACTGCGCAGGTCTGTGACAGGCCCCAGGAATCTGCGTATTTAACAGGAGCCCACAGAGGGTTTCTATTCTGGTGAGATGGTTTGCAGAGCCCACTTTGAAAAACGCTGTTGTGGCTATTTTCCTTAGGAAGAACCCCATCTCTTTCTTCATCTCCCCAGCTAGTGCGCTAGCAGCCGGGGGCTGGAGATGGCGCAGGTCCTCGGACACCTCTGACTGGTCCTTGAAAGTCTGCTGTGTGGATACAGCACATCAGGTGCTGGGCTTCTGTTCCTTACTGTGTCCTCATAAAAAATAAGTTAGGCTTTCAAAGCATTTAATGTCACAGCAATAGACTCACGATACAAGAGTAAGAAACATCATCCCTACAGAGTACACTGCAATCCTAATTTGGATAAAAACACATGAACATACACATAGAACAACGAGTGGAAGGAAAGGAATCAAAATGATCATCTCGGGGCAGAAGGGCTGCGCGGATAATTAATGTTATTCTCTGCCTTTGTGAAATTTCCAAATTGCCTGTAATGAGCAGGTATTACTTTCATAATAAAAAGGAACCATGTACAAGTCATTAAGGGAAAAGAGAATATTTTGGTCATCCGGGTTTGAGAGATAATAGGGACTTGAACTTAGGTCGCAGCAGAGGAGATTGACGCAAGAGACATTATTAAAGGCAACTCATTACAACGTGGGGACTCTGTGGGCGATGAAAGGTACAGAGAGTAAAAATAATCTCAAGGTTTGGAGCCTGAGTGATAGAGTGAATGATGGTAACATTGACAGCAAAATCAGATCAATTATCTTTCTCAGAGATGGGAAAATTGCTTTTTTTCAATTTGCTGTCTAGAGGATAATATGTTGTCCCGATGAGTCAGAATTCTATAATTTAGCGAGGCAGATACACTGACAAGATGGGACCACTAAAAGCATAAGATGTTTTTGTTTGTGGTGGTTGCAGACCATTAAATAAAATCAGGGTTTAAAACTGAAAGTATAATAAAAATGCCAGACAGGGGAAAGGGTAATAGAACAAATTTTCATGTTTTCTTTTTAAGCAAATGAATAATCTTCTTTTCTCTACATGGCAGTAGTTCTCCCCCAGTGGAACTGCATATGCAGCAGAAAGATGAGCCTTTTACTTCTAGAATTATCGAATTATACAGTGAACATAGCCCTACAGGTCATCCAGTGAGGTGGACGTTTCATGTGTTGAATTATTTATCTTTAACCATGAATTGTTAAGATGCTAAGATGCTAGTCCTACCCCCTCATTTTTAGAGACAGGGACAGTGGAGGCCCTAGAGATGTTTCTCAGGGACTGTCCCGAGAGAGGTCATGGCAGAACCTGAACCAGAAGCCACGGTAGCCCAGAGTTACCACCTCCTAATCCCGAGAAATAATCCCTGTCCTTTCTTAATACTCTTCTTCCCCACTACACCATCCATAGTGGTTCTTTAGGGAAAAAAAACAAAAACAAAAACAGAAAAAACCTCATTTAGGTGTGGCCACGAAGGAATGAAATCCTCTGTATAGTTTTTCTTAAGGTTCCTAGTGTTTTGACAGTGTTTTGTTCATCACTATAGTAACATTGTGGCCAACAGCATTTCTTCCTGTGGCTTTGCTGCTTGCCTTTCCTTTGTGACTAATTGGGCTGCGGGCCACGTCTGGGGGGCGGGGGGCTGTGCAGAGGGGATTGCTCTCCGCATCTGCATTTCTGTTTCATCCATAAAAAATTATCTATTCTTCCCCCGCTTCTTGGAAACCAACTATGTTTTCAGCACCGTGCCAGTTTCACATTCCTGATTGGAAAGTGGCTTTCTAACTGGGAGTCGACTTCCAGATACTGCTGAGTTGTTTCTTCCTTTTTTTTTTTTTTCTCGCTTCAGTATGTATCTTTAAAAACTAGGAACGCAAGAAAAATTAGGAACACTTTCCTACATAAGCAGAATAGAATGGCCGTCCTTTTAAAAAGGATTCATATTCCTTAATATCATCTAATACTCAGCCCCTGTTGCAGTTTTTCCAGCTGTCCCCCAATCGTGGGGAGCCAGGTCGGATCCAGTCATGGCACCGTTAGGGACGCAAAGAGGGAGCGCTGTGTGTAGGGCGATAACGGGGTGTCCCCTCCTGCCCCTTGATGCTTATTTCCCCCCTCGCTGGCTGAAGATGGTCTGCGCGGTGCTGGGTTAGCACCCTGTCAGTGAGCGCCCTGTTGGCGCTTTAGCTCAGCTCTGTAGCTAATGCTTTCTGTGCTGGTTGGTCTCCTTGAGTGAATCAAGAATTTCAGCAGGCGTTCAAAGTGACGATTTTTCTCATCTGTCATCTACTCTACATTTATAAGCTGCCCCTTTTCTCTAAAGCACTGCTTTGAGTCATTAACTCAGCTCTTTGGTTTTTCTGAAATTCTGTTTCTGCTAGGAAGGCAGGTATGTGTTTAATTCTTTCCCTTTACTTCTCAATTTTTAAAGACATTTTTAAAGGGTTGGAGCCATAGCCACCTTAAATGGTACCACCTTCATCCCCTTCACACCACATTCAACCGGTTCTTTTTTTTTTTTTTTTAATTTAAGTAAACTCCACCCCCAACGTGGGGCTCGAACTCACAACCCCGAGATCAAGAATCTCATGTGCTACCGACTGAGCCAGCCGGCCGCCCCTCAACTGGTTCCTTTTTTTTTTTTTTTTTTAAGATTTTAATTATATATTTGAGAGAGAGAATGAGATAGAGCATGAGGGTCAGAGGGAGAAGCAGGCTCCCCGCTGAGCAGGGAGCCCGATGCGGGACTCGATCCCGGGACTCCAGGATCATGACCTGAGCCGAAGGCAGTCGATCAACCAACTGAGCCACCCAGGGGCCCCTCAACTGGTTCTTTTTTAAGCTGCAATGATTTTTAAGGCAGTGGCGACCCCCAGTTTATATGGTTCAACTTTCTGTTGTGGATGTTGATCTGAAGAAAACCAGGGCATGTAATCCGTTGACTTGTATTCCTACAAGAGGCCACTGTTATGCACAGGGCTTAGGGGCACGAAACCCACTTCGCTTCTAGGGAAAATGCACTGTGGGAACCAACCAGACCTTGAAAGTATTCTTAACTGGACATTTAGTGTTCCATGAAACCACGAAATTTGTTTATTTCTTTAAAATATAAAAGCCTACGTAGCCCGCTGCTTTTCTAGGATTGGATGACTAACGACTAAAACCCAGTGGTGGTAGCCTCCCAAACCTGATTTTTCTTTTTTCCATCTATGTTCTTTTTCATCTTTGGCCGTTATTCTGTCGTTGATTACCTTGTTTTAAAAAATTGGCACTGTGAGAATCGAATTACAGATGGGTAATTTTGTGGATTTATTTTTTTTTCTGCAAGTAATTTTAAAAATAGACTGGCATATAATTCACAAAATTGAATAATAGGTCAGAGCATTTGTTCCCTTTTCTTACACGGACTTATTCATAAAAGCAGTCCTCAGGAAAAGACCACAATGCTGATGATGAATGAAAATGAGAGTAATCTGAGTTTTAGAAATGAAAAAAAAAAGGCAATTGAAAAAATTAATGTCTTCTTGGAAGCCATCTCCGCTGCGGTGTTCACCTCATTAAAATAGATTGTTTTTTTTTATCCCGCTGTCCAGCCCAGCTAACCATTGGATCTAACAACTAGAAACCAATGAAGGTGTAATCGTCAGCATGCATTTTTAAAAATAAAAAAATATTTTTTAAAAGCAACATGTATTTATTATAGAGAAAGGAGAAATACAGATCACCAAAAGAGAAAAATAACATCACTCTTCATCCTATCACCCTGATATAAACATCTCTAATGTTATGTGAACAACAGAGAGAAATGGAACTTTTAATCATAAATGGAGTAACAGATGACAGCAATAATAATAGTTTGTACTTACTGAATTTTTGCTATGTATCAGACACTTTTCTACGCACTTCCTTCGTTAGTGTGTCCCCATCTTGCAGTCGGCCTTATCTCCAGCACACCGATGAAGGTGAGGTACCAGAGGGGGAATAGGTGTAGCTTGCTCCAGGTTACATTGTGAGGACACAACAGAGCTAGGATCCAAACTTAACGGACAAGAGTCAGACGTGGGGGCTGAACCCAGGCATCCTGATTCTCCAGTCTAGACTCTGAGGCAGTCATAGGATATGTTTTAATACAATGCTCATATTTAATTTTAATTGAATTTAACAGATGAGAAACAGGTGGAACTGAAGGAATTTCTGAAATTCTGACAAATTATAAAATAAGTTTTGATGATTATTGAAAAGAGCCATTTTCCTATATGTTCTCCCTGTTCTCTCTCCTTTTTTGAAGTTTGTCCAGTGTCTGCATTGTCAGTGCAGGTAACTATTCTATACCACAGTGTCTCCCTTAGAACCCTCATGTGGTCTTCATTCTGGGTGGGTATATATACGTGATGCTCACTACTGGTCTTCATGTTCATGTCTCTCCAGTCACTTTGGTTGTTTGAAGCTCTAAATGTTTTCTCAGGGAGGATTCATGGGACCAGCATTTCCTGAATTATTTACACATTGATGGAGTCTGCTGCATTAATAATTGAAAGTCATTTTAGCTAGATATAAAATTCATGGCTCACATGTTCTTGCCTTGGGTATCTTAAATGTGGCATCCATTTTCTTCTGGCATAAAATGTTGTCCAAGTCTGCTGACAATGTAATTTTCTGTATTGAAATACTTGGTCTCGGGGCACCTGGGTGGGTCCGTCAGTGGAGTGTGTGACCCTTGATCTCGGGGTCATGAATTTGGGCCCCATGTTGAGTGTAGAGCTTACTTAAAAACAAACCAACAAACACTTGTTCTTTTCTGTCCGATTGTCAAAAGCTTTATTTCTTCCAAGTCCAATAATTTTACCAGAATATGTCTTGGTGGTGTTGGTCATCCAGGCTTGATTTCTGAGGTAGGTGGTGTACCCTTTCAGTATGCAGTCTCAGATGTTTGTTTTTAATTTCAGTAAAAATGTCTTTACTTATAGGCTTCACTTTTTCTGTTCCCTTGTTTTCTTTGCCCATCTTCTATATTTGTCACATCCTCCTGAATAATTTTTATCCACCTTCATGTTTTCTAAGATGTTCAAAAAAATATACTTATTTATTTTAGAGAGTGTGTGTGTGTGCGCGCGAGCGGGAGTAGGGGCAGAGGGAGAGAGAGTGAGAGAATCTCAAGCAGACTCCCCGCTGAGTGCGGAGCCCAACTCGGGGCTGGATCCCAGGACCCTACTAAGATCATGACCTGAGCTGAAGTCAAGAGTTGGCTGCTTAACCCACTGAGCCACCCTGTCTCTGTCTGGGTCAGTGTGGCGTCTATGTGCCCCAGTTGCTCCTCAGAGTGGGACTTGGCCCTGGAAGGGAACTTTGGATTGTTTTGAGAGTTCATGGGGCCTGGGCAGCTCCCAGGCTCTACCGTGGACTCCTTGCACTCAGTCACTATTTGAAAGGGCAAACCCCTGCCAGTCTTAGTTGTTGTTCATAAATTAGCTTGCTGAGGTTTGAGTTATTTTAGAGTTCTCAGATCTATCAGATGTCCGGCTGGTTCCCTCTCCATACCCCTCCATAACTGATTCCATTGTGCTCTTGTAGCTGTCTCAAATTTGTCCCACCCATTCGTATTTCGGGGTTCACGGGGGAATCATTTTGATCCGGTTCTGTCATAGATTGTGTCTGTGGATTTGGCTGTTGCTTCCCTCCTTACCCTAGTTACCTTTCCTACTTGTGTTTTCTATGGTGGCATTTGGGGACATTTAAAAACTATGCTGCTGGGCGCCTGGGTGGCTCAGTCACTGGGTGTCCTGCCTTCAGATCAGGTCATGGTCCCAGGGTCCTTGGATCAAGTCCCACATCGGGCTCCCTGCTCAGCGGGAAGCCTGCTTCTCCCTCTCCTACTCCCCCTGCTTGTGTTCCCTCTCTCGCTGTGTCTCTCTGTCAAATAAATAATTAAAATCTTAAAAAAAAAAAAAAAACAACTATGCTGCCAGGGCGCCTGGGGGGTTCAGTCGGTGAAGCGTCTGCCTTCGGCTCAGGTCATGATCCCGAGGTCCTGGGATCGAGCCCCGCGTCGGGCTCCCTGAATCTGCTTCTCTCTCTCCTTCTGCCTGCCATTCCCCCACCTTGTGCTTGCTCTCTCTCTCTCTGTCAAATAAATAAAATCTTTAAAAACAAAAACAAAACTATGCTGCCAACCACTACCTTCCTCCCAGGATTCCTCTGTAAACTACGGACCACGGGCCACATCTTGTCTGCCGCTTGCTTGTCTACAGCCTGCAAGCTAAGAATGGTTTTTATACGTTTAAATAGTTGACAAGACCTAAAGAAGAATATTTTGTCCTAGCACATGAAAATTATCTGAAATTCAGATGTCAGCATCCGTTAAAGTTTTTTTGGAAGACAGTCACACCTGCTTATTTACATGTTCTCTGTGGCTGTTTTCATGCTATAACAGCAGAGTGAGTTTTGGGGACAGAGACTCAAAGCTGAAAATATCTATTATCTGGCCATTGACAGAAGTTTGCCAACCCTGGTCCTATAATATACTTTTTTAATGGCTAAATAGTATTCCATTGTGTGAATATATCATGATGTACTTAACCAAGTCCCTATTATTGGGCATTTAGATCAATTCTAAATTTTCATCATTATAGGCATCATTTCATAGCTATATTAGCATATATATTTTATTATTTGGGGGAGGGATATATTGTTACAGGTAAGATTGCTGGATCAGAGGAGATTATGTTTTTTAAACTCTTTGATTAATATTGACAAATTGTCATCCAGAAAGGATATACAGGCTAAATATCTATTAAGGATACTGATTCAATAAATTATGGTGCCTTCATGCGATGAAATATTGTGCAGAGGGTAAAGAAAATGAGGTAGCTTAATTTTACTGATATATAAAAGTCTGTAATACATGCTGCTAAATTAAACACCCTGGTTACACGCGTAGAGTATGATTCCTTGAGATTAAGGAAAGGGGGGCAATTAGAATACATACTTTTAGCTTTTTCACAAGAAGCATAGATTACAAGTAGGTTATACCAGCGTACACACCCAGCCATAGTATGTCTGAACAGTGGTTTTGCCATGCTTTTGTCAGTCTCTTTTTTTTTTTTTTAATTCTTGCCAATTGACAGACAAGAAAAGGGCATCCTGTTTTCATTTTATATATCAACTTTTGTATTGTTTTGTATGTTTATGGGCTTGAATTCTTTTGTGAAATTCTTGTCCATTGTCCATTTCTTTTTCCTTGCCATTTTCATGTTTTGGAAACTTGGTAGTTTGTAAAGCTCTTTAAAAAAAAAGATTTTATTTATTTGGGGGAGAGAAAGAGAGCAAGAGAGAGAGAGAGTATGAGCAGGGGGGAGGGGGGAGGGGCAGATGAAGGAGAAGCAGGTTCCCCGATGAGCAGGGAGCCCGATCCGGGGGGCTCGATCCCAGGACCCTGGGATCATGACCAGATGCTCCACCAACTGAGCCACCCAGGTAGGTGCCCCTGTAAAGCTCTTTTTATCTATCAGCTATTAATCCTTTGCTTGTTGTCCGTTTGCCTCTGTGTAGTATTTAGGGTATTTAATGGTGTTTTTCTTTTTTTATGCATTCAAATCTTCCTGTATTTTTTGTGTGCAGGAAGCCTTTTTCCATCTCAGATTGATGTGCTTGTTGCCCACTATATTTTTCTAGTTCTTATTTGATTTTGTTTTTTACACTTAGGTCTTTCATCCGTAGGGAATTTATCCACGTGGGCTGTCAAGTAGGGTTTAACCTTATTTTTCAAATGCTTAGCCAGTTGTCTTAGTGCCATTTATTGAATAAGCCATTATTTCAAGGTTATGTAATTTTTTTCAGACTGTTTCTTATTAGATCCTGTGCATTTCACATTTTCAAAAGCCAGGTTTGTTGATTTGATTTATGTAAAATACAATTTCTTCTTTTTAAGCATGCAGTTATTCTGTACGGTTGTGGTTGTAGCAGATGTGTGCAGTTTTGTCGCCACCGCTCATGCCGGTCAAGATCTAGAACATTTTCATCGTCCTCCAAAAGGGTCCCTCGTACCCCTTTGTAGTCAGTCCCCTCACCCCTGACCTTGTACTCTTGCCACCACTGATCTGTTTTGTATCCCTAAATTTTTGCCTTTTCTAGAATGTCTTACGAATGGAATCCTCAAACACATAGCTTTTGGGATCTGGCTTATTTCACTTAGCACAGTGCATTTAAGAGATATCCGTGTTGTTGTGTCTATCAGTGGTTCATTCCTTTTCGTTGTCGAACAACATTCCGTGATATGGCTATACCACAGTTTTATTTTACTGTTCACTTGTTCAAGGACAGTGGGCTTGTTTCCAGTTTGGGGCTTTTTTGAAGAAAGCTACTATACACATTCATGTATGTGTCTTTATGTAGACATAGGTTTCTACTTCTCTTGGGTAAATACCTAGGGGTGGGACTCCTGGGTCATGAAGTAGATGTATGTTTCATTTTATAAGGAACCATCCAACTGTTT